AGTTATATAATTTTGATTAGCCAAATTATATACTTTTTTGACGAATGATTGACGAGTGGCATTATGCCAAATAAATCTATTTTGACTAGTGTAAGATATTCTTTATTAATTTTATTAAATAAAAAATTAAAGTTTTATTGAAAATTTTCAAAATAAATAACTTTAAACTTTGTGTTTAAAATCTTAATATAAAAAATTATATAAAATTTAATATTGTCATATATCATTTCTACCTCAAGAAAAAGATAAAAACAGAAAACTAATAGCAGGGAGGCATTTTAGATGGATAGGGCCAATATGGTGTGCTAAAGTTCCTAGAGGTATATAAATTGGTACAATTCTAAGATATATGAGGTCAGGCAAAAGAGGCAATGGTGATTTGTTTTGTAGAGATCAAAATATTTATTTGATAAAAATATATGTTCAAGCTAACTAATTTCTAGGCAAAATTGGAGCTTTTATATACATGTTTTAGTCATAATATTTTCATATATGATAAATATATGTTATAAAAAATAATAGAGATATAAAAGAATTGTTATATTTATTGAAACAGTTATCTATATGTGTTAGCATAGAAACAAATGCTCTGGTAAAGATACAATAATAAATATAAATAAATAAAATAGAGAATATTTAGAGCAACAATAGTATGAAAAGTACAATGCTAAACAATAACAAAAATAGTAATACAAGAATTATTCTAGAAGGGGCAATATTTCAAGAATAAATGCTAGTGAAAATTGGATAAGGGGTAGTGATGATCTTGGGTGAAAATCAAGTATAACAATATATATTTAAAACAAAAAAATTATTTTACTTTTAATACAAGTTAAAATTTTTATAATTAAATCATTAAAATTGTAGTAATTAAAGTTATTCTTTGCAAATAATTCTACAAAACTGATTATAATTATATAAATTATAATTTAAAAAATTTTTAAGTTTGTCTAAAATCATCTTTTATCTAAAATTTTTGCTTATAATTAAACTATAAATTTTTATTAAATAAATAAAAAATAAATATTATCAATAGATAATATATAATTAAAACTAATATTATATAAATTTTTAGAAAATATCTTGATTATTTAAAAAAATAAATAAAAAGTAACTTTTTAATTAAAAAATTTTAAATATTATAGGAATAAGTATTGTATAATTATTAAATAAAAGTTATTTTTATTTGATAAACTATTACTTTATAACTTGATCCCAGTATTATATAATTAATAGAATTGTTATGTGAAGTAATTATTTGAAATATAAGATTAATGAACTGATTTGCATTAGTATTACAAACTTTGGTCAAATATATATATATATTTTTAATAGAAACTGCTTTATTTGTTATACAGTACTGGTTATAAGTAACCTTATACCCTTTAAAAATTCAAATTTAATTCAATTGTTCTAAAAATTTTAGAACAAATAATTTATTACAATTTCCGATCATCTGATTTTTTTTAGATTTTTATAATTTCCAGAGCAAAATTTAGATGAGAACTAAAATTTGAAGATTTTTTTTTTATGATTTTTTTAACCTAAAAATTTTCAATAAATGATTCATAGTTCAATAATTCATATAGTTAAAAATTCTTAAAAAATTACATATTAAAATCTAGGTTTTTTTATATTATTAACAAAAAATTTGACATATTTTGATAAGACAATTGTCAAAAAATTAATCTTCAAACTTTAAGTTTGTTCAATAACAAAAACTTTCCAAAATACAATTTTTTTTTTTTTTTTTTTTTTAAGTCGTAAAAGGGCATCAGATGCAAAACTTTATTAATATATATAAACATATCCGGATTACATCTAACATCTTTACAAAATCGAGTTTATAAATTAATGTTAACCTATCTACGATGCTAACTATCCCTACCCTGGTTACACATAGTGTACTTCAGATTAGTTTTAGTGCTGGATGGTTAATGCCCTTCCAGAGCTAAGATAAAGACTTGTGATTTGGTGACGCTGCTGGTATGGTTTGCCTGCGAGTCTGTAACTTCCATTATCAGCTCAAGCAAATTTTTATCCTTTGAGATAGCTTTTGGTGTGTGAGTACTGTTGGAGCTTTCGGTTGGGGAGGAATTCCTTTTCCATTTGACTCCCTTTACTTCAGATGTGTTAGCAGTTGCTGATCTTGGAATCCATATCTGTAAGTATAATAAGGCTAGTATTTTGTTTGCCATCTTGGCATGGCTGGCGATAGATAATTGTATGTCTATGTTTAGCATTCCGCTAGCAAGTTTGTCCAGGTTAGATTTTTGGCCAAAGTCTAATTTTTGCAGATTTCTTTCGATTTCTGTTAGGTTCTTCCTATTACTATTTTTTCTTATGAGCTTTATTAAACTTGTTCTTATCTTGTTTTTCATTATGCTGTACGCTGCGATGTTTTTGTAGCAATCAAAGATGTAACTCTAAGTCTCCACTGCTGTAAGGCACCTAGGGCAGAGGCTATCAGTATAAGTGTTCAGGTAACGGTCGTGTAGTAGTTGTCTAGATAGTAACATTCCGCTCAACAGTTTGAGTCTAAAGGCTAATAGTGAAGAGGTGTTCGCTTTATCTTTGTTGGTTAGCAACTTGTTTGCTATGGTCAGAGTTTGAAATACTGTTGTTTTCATGCTGCCTTTCCATCTGTTTTTAATTGATGAGCTCTGGGTAATATCGGCAAGTCTGTGTGTCCTCTGGATTATTTTGGTCCAAACCACTGGACTGAAGCTCCAATTGTTCTTGATTTTTGGACTGGAGATGTAGCTTTCTGGCTCCACTAGGTTGTCGATTCCTATAATTGTGTCACTGTCTTGATAGCTTGAAATAATCGGGCTTGACTCTAGTCTCAATTTAATATTCTTGCGTTTGCATGTGCTATTGATTCTTTCCTTTAGAAAACTATATGAAAATTTGACTCTTTGATTCGAGTA